TAAGTTCAACGATGAAACAACAAATAAATAACTTTATCATCTGAAATGAAGTGAATTTAGATACTTTACTAACTTGTCCAGCTTGCAACAGTACGGAATGGTACAGAAAGGTGCAGTAAACGCCATACTAGAAAACTGTGAAATAACCTGACATTCTGAAAAGCTCTTTCTCTCTGCTGGTGGAAATATAAGGGTTTTCAGGCTTTCAAAGAATGGTTTCAGATGTCTTGCTTATGCTCTCATTCCTCTCTTTAAAAGTGTTGACTTTTTTCAGTTTTGAGTAATTGGTTGTATAGTTTATAATAGCATACTTTATTTCACTTTAATTTTGATCTTTATGATCAGTATTTCATGAGTCCATTTTAACTTGTTTCCTAGTAATTAACAGCAATGTACATTAGAGGGATATGCCAAATTTATTTCTGTATCCACCTTATTTTAAAGAAATTATGTAATGGTATCTTTAATTACTTGTGGAAAATATACTTGCAAAACTTCAATTTTTATTACACAGCAGTGAACAGATTCAAACGAAAGTGCATGTATTCAAATTAAAGCTGCTAAACTGATTTTAGCTAAAAGAAAAATTTTGGAAAACGTCTTTTCAAGAAACTGTGGGAGACAGTCATCACAAGAGCATAGGATGTACCTCTTACAATCGATAATTTAGAGCTAAGGTGAAGACTGCAGGCTCAAATCCTATCGTTGTGTTTGGTGTTCTGTATCTGAGGAGAGTGCCATAAAACTACCAGGTATCTTGAGATTAGTGGATTCTTAATGTCTCTTTCTTAGAACTGTGTTTAATATCAAATATTAAGCACAAATGGAAAAGTGAAGATGTATGAAATAAAAAAAAATTAATTACAAGCATGAAAAATTCCTCTTTTTACTCTGTTACATTTCCATATTTTTTCTCAGCCAGTAGTTCAGCATTTGGGTACTGCACTGCTTCAAATACAGGTTAATTTCCAAGAGTTTTGGAATTGTGTGTAATTTTCCTGCTGCTGACCCTTACACAGTAGCCCTCAATACGCTCCTACTGTTCCATTTTTCAAAGCCCTTTGCTGTATTGCTTTACCTTCTTTTTAAACTGTGATTTCTGTTAGTTTTCCCCACTTACCTCTCACATAATTTCTTTGATTGTGTACCTGCTTTGATCATCAATCAGATGATATCAGATTGCAGTTTGATCGATATGAGAGGAGAATTAGTCTTTCAATGTATTTGTAGCCTTTGATATATTTTTTACATCATCAAATTATAAAATTCTTTTAGCAATTAGCACTGGAAATCTGAGAGTCATCAAACTGGCATTAAATGTGCTAGGATGATGCAGATCATTGGTGAAGGAGAGACATGATGCACTATCAGTTTAGAGAAGTTCAAACTATTACATCTGAAACCCCCACAGAGAGGTAGCAGGTTTCATGATGATGGGGAGCCAAACCTGGCCAAAGGGGACAGCTTAGTTCTGGAGGTAGGAGAACCACAGTGAAAGAAAAATGCACAGTCTGTGAGTATTTTAGTTACTTTTACAAGCTGTTAATTGCCCACAAGTGCACAGAGACAATGGATTCCTCACTGGACATCTAAGTAAAATAAGTCTTCATTATGTTTATGTTAGATACAATGTATGATCAACATAAACCAAATGTATTTATCTAAGGTTTGGATGTATTTGGCAACTCTTCCATGAACAAATAATTTCCTTATATACATAATTTAACACTTTCTGAATTAAACAGTGCAGAAAAGATTAATGGTATGTACCTAATAGTATACTCTCGTTTCATTCTTTTGTACCTAAACTTAGACTCTGTTTTATTCTTCTTTTTTTTCTAAAGTTGAGTGTATATGCTATCAGTACTCAGTTCTTTAAAGCCCTTAACCAAATGGCTTCAATCAGCAATGAACTGACAACCTTGCTTCAGGCTGGGAAATGGTTTGTTGTTCAACTTAAAATATTCTTACATTTGATTAATTATAATGGTTTTGCATCCATGAAAGGATGCTCCTCTTGTGTACTGTGGTCTAACTTTTCTAGAGAAGAGTATTTGTGTCAGATAATGAGTGTTCTTTACTTATTACACTGTATTTGTTTGTTTAACTAATCTGTCCCATTCTTCTCTAGAGATGCTCAAATCTTACATTAATAAACAAAATAACACAAAAGAGGAATGTAGCTGAAACAAGCTGGAAAATTATCTATTTGTGGGTGTTTACACTGGAACAAAAGAGTTAAGCGACTGTTTATGCTGTTCATCATGCAGCTTGATATGAAGCAGACAGCTATAAAAGAAAATTTGTTTTTGCTTGGCTGATTTCCTCAAACATGTTCCAAAAGCCTATTTTGTAGCTGTAAATGACCATTATGTGTTGAGCAGTCTTTGAGCAACACAAAGTACTCTGCTTTCCAGAGCTTTCGCTGGGGAAACTTGGGGTTCTCATAAAGCTTTAGTCTGTTGAAAAGAAAGCCCAGTGTGCTTTATTTGGCTAGGTGCTGAACTGACCTCATTTGTCATGGTAATTTTTTTGAGATCTTTCGCATGGGAGGGGTAACTTGCTATGGTATTTTGCATTTAAAAAAAAAAAAAAAGAAAAATTCTAAAACTCAGAAATTAAATTTAAGTTTTTTGCTGTTGTGTTTTCCATTTCTTTCCCTTTCCAACCTCCTTATCATTTATCTGGTTATGCAAAAAAAAATACAGAAATAAACACAATTACTTTTCTTTTTTAAAAAAGTCCCTGAAGAATGCCCTTTGAACTTTCTAGGGAAACAGACATCAAGCAACTCTACTATGCACCGTTGGTCCATTAACAGTCTTTGCCTTCATCTGAAGGAATGAGTGCCTCAGCTTTGAGTGACCGATCCTATTGGCTTTCAATGTTTGACAGAACATTGGCAAGATCTGTGTTAAAATGATCTCATCCCTAAAGAGCTGTACACAGCTTCCTGAAATTTATTTTGATCTATAGTCTACCTGTGCATTGTAGAAGGTCAAAGAATTTCATGCTCATGCAATTTTGTGTTGTAGCTCAGGACCTTTGTGCCGTGGAGAAACATGCCTGTGAGCAGATTTGTGTGAACACACCTGGGTCCTATGTCTGTCAGTGTTATGAAGGGTATGAGCTTGATGCAAATGGAAAGAGTTGTGTTGGTGAGTATGAATTCAGCAATTCACATTTATCTCTTGACACCAAAGCAAAATTCAATATAAATTAGTATCCATTTTAGGCATAGACAATTACGTTCTCCTGTATGGGTGGTAGATGAGAAAGAATACATAATTAACATGTTTGTAGGCATTTACTGATAATGATTTGTGTCTTGGGAAAGTTGTTCCAACTAATTTCACACAGAAAATAGTCTTCCATTTTGAAACAGCACACCCAATGTTTTATTCAAGATCTGTGTAGGTGGTCAGCAATGTACTGGCATGATATATGTGGCCATTAAAAAAGCAAAGGTGGACAAACTCGGTAGCTCCTCTTCAGACAGAAGTTATGCACAAAAGAACTTGAAAGGGGACAATTCCTTAATGGCTTTTTCACTTGATTTTATGGTGATGTGAGGAGAGATTTCTATCCCTTTTTGGAAAGATGACTTTAAGGGAAGTTTAGCCACTTTAGGAACCTATCCACTATGTGCCTTTAATTTTCACTGCAGGCAATGTGGAAGTAAATATCAGCTCCAAGAATTACAACTTAAAAGAGAGAGTGTGGAAATATGGTACAAATTTTTTTTAGCACAAAACATACTTCCCTCTCTATTACTCTGTAAGTATCTCACTCTTCTTCCCTGTTTATTCTAGAAGTAGTGAATACTTCTAGTATATTCACTTTTACAAGCCTATTCTTGTAAACTTTTCATCTTGTGCCACATTCTGAGAAAATACTGTTTTCTAGTTTCCACTGCAAAAAGCCTTAGTGAGATCTGTATGAAAAATTACTTTATTTGTTAGGTATTCTCTTCAGGCAAGCACTTAGATGCATGCTTAATTTCAAACAAAAATGGAAGTCCTATGGAAATGAATCCAAGTGAATCCTTGGCCTCAGATTTGCCACACGCTGCCACAATGCTTTTGTCCAACACCCTATTCTTGTCATTTTAAGACAGGTCTAACATATTTTTCTCTTATTGCCTTCAAAGAGCTATTGGCTTGCAGGATAACTCTGTTTCGAGATGCAAAATAAGTGTCAATTTACAGAACTTTCTGCATATAGCTTCAAACAAGATTTTGAAGTTTTTTAGGCCTGGGATAACATGAGGTTTTGAGGAATATTCACTCTGTGCTTACTCTTCAAAAATGTTTCCTTTTCTTGTAGCTTCATGATTTCAGGATAGGAGTATTTAAAGGTCTCAACATAATTTGTGTCCTGCATAATTTGGCCACTCATATACTATTTTAAGAACCTGCTTTTTGAAGCCAGATTGTTTTGAAAATGCAGATGATACTGATTATTTAGGCAAGTTTTTATGTTCTGGCCCAAATTTCTGTATCTAATGTTCATCTAATCACTTTAGCAGACCCTCTTGACCTTTACTTGTATTAGGATAAAGGATATATTTCTCTGCTGTTTGTTTGATTATATCCTGCGACAGAAAATATATGACTTCTGTTGGTAACTTCTTTCATCCCCAGTTCTTTCCTACCATGTATTCCAATCTGAAATATTCATGCTTAGTGTCATCAGCTGTTGTTACTGTTTTCTAGTAAGTTGAAGTTCCTTGACAGCCCAAGATAGTCCTACTGGGAAGGTAGCCACCAGAGCATCATTCTGGTGAAATTCTTTGTTTGTCAAGTCTAATATTATCCCTTGTAATAAATAATAAGTCTATTTTTGTTACTTAAACCTTCAAAATATTTCCATGCCACTTATTAAATATCTTGCATTGGTATTTGGTTTTTTTGCCTGTTAATAATGTATCTGTGAATTCTGGGGAGAGTGCTGTTTGGAGGTGTGATATATCTTTGACATTTTTTTTCCTACCTCTTCACTGACTCTCTTTGGCTTGAAGAGAGACACATTTATTATAAGCACTATTGTTGACATTTAGAGATTTCATATTCTCCAATTATTTTCAAAATACAGCATGCATGGGTTCACTATCTTGCATTTTATAGCAGTGTTTCTTCTCCACTTGATTTCTATTCATATGTACCTTTTAGCAACAAAACATGAATGCATCCTATTCATACCACTGCAATAATTAGCAGTATTAATTGGGATTTTAAAGCATATTATTAAAATTTATATTTTTTAGTTTTCTTTTGCAGTTGCATATTTGACCACTTAACTTTTAAATTTCTTACTGATGTACAAGAACGGTTCAATGTATATTAATTATATTTGATCTGTGCAGAACTTAGTTTCTCTACATTTCCTGAACAGGAAAACTTGTCTGGGTAATTTATGAATTTGATGCTAATTTGTCTGCAAATCCTATTGTCAGCCTCCAGAATCTGACTTTTCAGGTTTGAACAATTTGAGATTTTTGAGGAATATGCTACTAAGAATATACAGTTTCTGCAGAAGTGGTCATCAATGAATAATCATCCTTGCTGGAAAAAATTTTAAGGGAGACTGTGTAGCACTGAATCAATAGTGATAACTCTCAGTTTTCATTACTCCTAAGCCAGTTAACCCTTCCTTTCTGTGAAGTATTTATTGTCAAATGAGCAGGATCAGAAGATCTTGATGTACACGTATACAAGAGATCACTGAGAAGAATAACAATTTTGTAAAAATCAGTGATTTTATTAAGGTTAGTAATTCCTCCCCTTCCAGAGAATGAAAAGAGAATTTCAGTAGGAAATACACATTGTGATATTCTGGGAAAGAGTCAGAGGTTTCCATCTAAGATATCTAAGACTTCTAAAGTTTTAACTCCAGCAAAAGCTAATGAGAAAGTCCCGAAAATTCATTTCACTTGTTTATTAAATTTTTCTGATGGGCTAATTTAAGGATCAGTGGTGATACTTATTGCTTTATTGACGTGTCAGCCAGTTACCTGATTGACAATAATTATATGAAATCTCACAGCCAGAACTCACAATGTATTCATTCAAGCTGACCACTGAACAACCAACCACTTAGAATAAACCACAGTTTATGAATGAATTTGTAGGCTAAATAATACTTGAAACCATTTGCTCATCAGTAAATCTGGCTGGCAGGCCACTATCTCTTTGCCTTTTTTGAACTGTTTTTCACATGGACAAAGTCCTGTCAATTGAAGTTTGGTGGTAATGAGGTACACTTTCTCCATCATGCTGCTGGACATTTAGTCTCCCCACCTTGGTGTTGCTGGACATGCTGTTCTCTCTTTCCTGGCACTAGTGCTAGACTGTCTCCATCTTTCTGCAGCTGCTGGGCTTGGATCCTCTTTTCCTGGCAGTGGTTTGGCTGCTGGCACCTCTCTGCAGTCCTGGCAGAGCTGGATTTTTTTGGCTGCTTCTTACGTTCTTATGAGTCTTCCATGAGTCTGCTCTGTTCATCCCTCACATATTTTATCATCCTCCTTATGCCTTTACTTACTTCACACCTTTTTCTCCTACCCTTCTCCTAAATTTCCTTCACCCACCCAAGCCTGAATAACCTCTGTTAAACATCACAGGGCTGAAACAACCCCTTAGGAAAAAGGTGACCCCTACAGTCCACGGTTCAGAGAGGGCAGTGTGAGCACCCAAAGTGCAGAATTGGTAACTGGAAGTAAAAGATGGTTCTCATCACTTGTTAGTACCAAGTGAGAAAAACAAGGTGGAACAAATATGCAGAGATGACAACTGAATTAATAGTTTTCTCCCTAAAAAGAACACTAATAAATCATTTAGAAAAAATTTCTTATTGAAATAGACGTGAGATAAAATTCAAAACAGTGAAATCTCAAGTTTTCACATTCTCATGTGTCTCATGACTCAGCATAGAAATATGCTCTTCTCCCAGGGGTAGGACATGTGGCACTGGTTCAAAGCTGTGCCAAGAGAGGCTTAGACTGGACATTAGGAAGCATTTCTTTACCAAGAGGATGATCAAATGCTGGAACGGGTTTCCTACAGGAGGTGGATGCTCCAAGCCTTTCAGTATGTGAAAGGCATTTGGACAAAGCCAACTCTGAACTGGTCAAGCAGTTGGACTAAATGGTCATTGTGTGTTTCTTCCAACTGAATATTCTATTCTCACTGTTACAATCATTGCTTGGGCAGTTGTAGGTATTGCAGTAGAAATTTTTTTTTTTAAGGTTTAAATGGAGGAGGTGACTTTCCAGACTTTCCAGAGACATCCACATGGGCTATTTCTCAGACATGATGCTTAATAGCACATATTCTTTGGCCTACCTATTTCTTAATATGTCTTCTAAACACTTGAAAATGTGCAAGAATTAATTGAAAAGGAAAGCTAATTCTGTGACACATTATGTCCTTGAAACATATATTCAGTAAATAGGTTTTAATATGAATCGATTCAGACTGGAAACAGAAAGGTTCTTGCCAGGAAAATGATATCACATGGTAGCCAGTAAGTAGTTTAATTTAACTTGATTCAACACAAATATTCTGAAGGGTTAAAAGAAACTCTTTCAAAGTAACTGAAATAGATTATCTGCTTTCCTGACTAGATGATTTTGACTAAATATAGTAGACACCTGAGTGTGCATGATTTATGTGGGGCACCTGCAGAAAGAATTGATTTCATTAAAACAAATTACTGCCTCTTAAAGAAATTGGTGAGGCTCAGCAGTATAAAGTAGTGAAAAAATTTACTCAGTTGACAAAGAGGAACCTGTCTTGGTATGAAGCTAAGCACGTTACTGTCTTCTGCAGAAAGCATCAGGTATGCTTTCCTAACATAAGCCTGGCAGCTCTTTGCAGGCAGAGCACAAGATTTGCGACTTTAATGTCTTCTAAGACTTCTGTTGTGGAAATGAAGCTTAACCTGCAAAGAAATTTTTTAAATCCATTAATTTCTTTAGCAACTTTGAATGGGCTTGACAGAGTAAACTCTGCAGTATTACTTTATTACCCTTTGGCAATCTAACTTTTAAATATGGATTTGTGTAATGACCAGACTTATGAAATAAGTGACTGGACTGCCTGTGATATTTTTTTTTCTTGCAAAAGGCATTATATAAGCAAAATATCCATGGTGAATATCAGCCTGAAGCTCTCAGGCTTTGCAGTTGTAGTTGTCTTGTACAGAACAAATCTGGAGCACATTAGAGGGAATGAATATACTGTGACAGTCCTCAGTATAGAAGATAATGCCAAGATTCTCCTATATACTCAGGCTACAGGAACAGCTCTTGAGAATTAATACAGCTGGGAGGGGACTAAGGAAAAGTAGAGCAATTCCAGGTCTGGGACTTGAGAGACAGAAGACAGAATTAAATCAAACACACTTTGCTGTGCCCTGGCCTACAGTGTGAACATCTGGACAGAGTTACTCAGTGAGGCATGGTTTCCAGATCTGAGAAAACATGTTGAGAAGGCTCCTGACAGTCTGAGAGCTGATAAATGTTCAAAGTTGAGAAATTATTCAGGACTCATTTAAAATCTGATTTACCAAATGATGTTGTAAGTGCACTACTTTTTGCAGACAGGCTTTTCAGGACAGTAATTACATCAGCTTTTCCTTTTTTATAGCTACTGTGTGTCACTAGAACCATAATATCTATGCATAATAGTTCCAAATTTTTTTCCTAATTACACGTTGGTCTTGTTCTTTTTCAGTTGTAGACTACTGTGCTTTGGATAACCATGGTTGCCAACACGAATGTGTTAACACTGAGGACTCCTATTACTGTAGATGCCACCCAGGGTTCATTTTAAATCCAGACAAAAGAACTTGTGGAAGTAAGTTGTGATAAAGTTTAATTATGAACAGTTTGTACTTCCTCTGTCTTCCAGCTGTCAGCAGTAATCCTCCCACTGGTCCTGGGAATGCTGGTTAATGCATCAGGTATAGAAAATGTTGGAGTGCCCTGGAAGCCAAAGGTCTTGAAAGCAAAGCAATTTGTTTTGAGGGGAGGGCCTAAGGGTAAAGGTCCCTCCTATGAACAGGGAGCTTTTAACATGAAACCCAGCTCCTTTTCAACAGCAAAAAGCCAAAGCTTTGCCTTGGATTTCTCTTTGATCGTTCTTTTTTTTTTTTTTTCAGTTAGAATATAATCTCCCTAGCTGGGTAAAAAAAACAAGTCTATGCAAGACAATTTATAATCAGTTTGCTTTGTAAAATGGTCTAAAATAATGAGTAGTTTCCCAATCAAAAGAAACTTTGCCTTCTGTTTTTCCGTGGATTTTTCTCCAGAGTAAGTTCTCTGATAATGTGACAAAGCTCTGGCAGTATCAGTATCTTCTACCAGGCTTCCATGTTTCCACCAGCTTATAATAACTTCATGGCTTTGCTTGTTTGTTGTTTGTCAAATTTGATACTAGGCTTAAAAGATCAAAAATTACTGGCATTAGGAATGGACATGAAGTGGAGGGGATCTGACAGAAGAGAAAATATTCATGCCGACGCCTCCCATAATTGGGAAAACAAGCTGAAACCTCCATAGTGTTTAATGTCATAGCTTCCTTTCAGAAAATGTCAAGGGAAAACCTTAATGCACCTTCCTAGTTACCTTTCTTCATAAATGTGGGCTTTGATAAAGTAATATTACTCTTGTGCCTGTAAGCAGGCAAGCTCCATTAGTTTTAGATGATTGCTGCTGCCAGTAGTGAATTTAGCCCATATCATTGAGTAACATGTTCAAACACTATTTTTGAAGAAATGCATCAATATAGTACTGCACTTCTGTGTTTTCCCAGACTAAGGGACATTTCAATCCTTCTGGTGAGAGACTTGGTTATCCCACAGACTGTATCTATATTGTGTATTATGCTTGATATTCCTTCCACTTAAATTTAACATTTAGGAAGAAAATATGTAATCCAGACTGTACAGGTATATTCTTACCATCAAGAGAAGGAGACATACATTTCTCAAAGGTGATTGCTCCCAGTTCT